TATTCTTAAATAGGTTTCATTTTATTTATAGTAAAATAATTTTAAGAACAACAAAGCAATTTATGATTAACCTGAGTCCTTTTTAAATTTTTTTTCTTAGTCCAAACCATAAGAAACAAGGTTACTATGATCTTTCCACAAGTTTCTACCACAGCTATTAAAGACATTAAGTTTATGGTCACGTGATTGTCTTTTACGTAAATATTATGACTAAAACCCAAAACTCTGTCTAGTTACTTGTCAGATGTATTCAGAAAACTACTTGACTAATCATAAAAATGTGTTTTATTCTTGAATAGATATTAAAGAAATATATTTTGTGGGGTGTTTAAATGCTCCAGGGTACTAATGGAAGACTAGTCCTATAAATTAAAGAAAAAAAAAATATATTTCTTCCGATATCTTTCCAACCCACAAGCTGAAGTTTTCTTCGTAATTTTCTTTATGTTCTAACAAAGCATACATAATGATTTCCATGTCTTTTCTTCTCTGAAATTTTTCCCTACAGCCATTTTTGCATTTGATAATTTAAAAATACCAATGCTGAAAAAACGAAAATTGATTTTTTTTGTGGCTAATCTTTGTCTGTCTTTTGATGCCTGAATCAAAAATTTGCATGGTTGACATTTTTCAAGACTTGTGAACATTAAATGTTGTTTTTTTTTTTTAACAAGGATTATTTTTTATTAGTATTTTATGTTAATTTTACTTGCTTTTTATTACAACTATTTTCATTATGCATGTTTACTAATGAACCTAAAATGTTGGTCTGAGTAGCTGCAACAAAAAGTCATTCATGTCATCAGTTCTCAACTTATTATCTATACTAATAACTCAACTATTTAATAGTAAATCTGAATGGTTCAATAAAATCAAATTAGCAGCTGATCTCAAAAATTAACTAGAATCTGTTCTTAACCTGAGCAAGGAATGGCTTGTTAATTTTTAATTCCTTCAAAACAAAACTGCTCATTTTTAATTGTTTAAGAGAACCATTCTTGCTTTCCATCAGTATGGCTGATGCTAACCTCCAGAAGAGTTATCTCCTCGCGACTTCTCAGGCTAATGTTTTCTGCTGACATGAAGTGGAAAGATTATATTGAATTAATTGCTAGGTCTACTGCTAGGAAGGTTGGTTCACTGTATCGTGCTGAACAATTTTCCTTTTTTAATGAAATATTAATGCACTCCAAGGAATCTGTCCTGACTTTGATCTCCTATTTTGAAGTATTAACCCCCGTCAACCCTTAAAAGATTGAACTGTTAAATCCCTGCACTCCTGACAAAATTGTAGAAAAATCTGAATATGTGCGGTTAGTGCAATTAAATTGATTTATATGAAAGACCTGTTCATAATCATGTGTTACTAGTTAGTTTTATGATATTCTAAGTGCAGCTTAGATGTAGCACAAAGCCAAAAAAATTGGGCATCCCTTGAGAATCAAACTCACTACTAAATCATAATTGTACTAGTGAGATAAGCTTGCTAACCATTACAAGAAAGTGCCCAAATGATTTTCTAAGTGCATCTTAGATGTGGCAAAAGGCCGAATGTATGGAGCACTTAGGATGGAACTCACAATTCAAGTCATAATTGATCTTACCAGCAAGCTTGCTAACCATTACAACACGTTGAAGTGTCCTAATGATTTTCTAATCATAGATGTGGCACAGTTGATAGTAAGGGGCACCTAGCGAGAATGAAACTCACTATTCAGTTATAATTGATCTTGCCAGCAAGCTTGTTAACCATTACACCATGTCGAAGTGCTCCTAGTTGGTTTTATATGAAAGTAAATTGATTTCTGTTTCAAATGATACCAAATTTAGCCTCTTTGATATTAGTGGCTCTAGATGATCATGTGATGGATGTTAATCCTGTGTTTTATTCAGGCACTCAAGGATTGTAAAGTTGTGGAAACCTACAGCCACATTTAAGGGCTTCCTGCCTTAAAAATATTAATGAGCTACAAAGATCTCTCCTGAGTTACTTTTATCGTATATGTTGAAATACACTGATAGGAAATGAAATCACAGCATTCTGAACGATATTTAGGGAAGTTAGATACTTTGACAAAGACTTTGAAAGTCTATAGACATTTTATAATGCTCAGAAATAATTTTATAACACTTTTTGTAACACTTATAGTAATTCACCATCTATAACTGAGATAGGGTTGATTGTTGTAATCAGGTGTCATGCCAAAGAGATGCACATGTTCGCCTTCTGTTCCATTTTGGGTGGGGTTAGGTTATGAAGCTTTGACTGTCTATAATTACTGGATGGTGATTCTAGAGAATTACTACACATATCGGATATGATGTGTCTGTGATGCTGAAATGTTGGAAACAGTGGTCAAATAAACATTCCCACATCTACAGACCAGGTTCTGGATGGCCATGTAGTACATTGATTAACTCATTTTTTTTGGCTTATCAAGCCTTTGCAGGTTATTTAAAGTGAATAGGATGTTGTTATCAGTCTTGTGTGGTGCATTCAGAGGTATACAAATTTGTAGGATGAGCCTTGATTGATTCGTTTTATATGGATTATCAACCCTTTGCAAGTTATTTAAAGCCAGAAAATAATTTCAGATTGAAAGATTGTTTTTTTTTTGCTTTGAGATAATAATGATTCAGTAATACATATCTTAGAAATTAACCCATAGCTGGGGAGAGAAGAGGTGGATTCACATCTTTCTGATGTAATGTAAGTGAATATAACGAACTCAGCTCTCCAATTAAGAATTCTGAGCCATAATCCATTACACCAGAGGTTGGCAACCTTTGCTAACTATGTACCAACTTTTAAAATCATTCAGTGTGCCAACATCATAGGTATTTTTATACAAGTCAAGGTCAATATACATGTTCTACAATATATTCTATATACTAATATATAGTAAATGGTGTTTCATTAAGCCGGATTATATATAAGGGTGTTTCATTAAGACGGATCAAAGTCAGCAGTAAATACATCAGTGTTATTGGTGAAAATTTATTTTTCTATTGAATCATGTTATTTAAATCATGGCAATTATGTGTGAAAAATATCGCCCAAATGTGTGCCAAATCTGAAAGAAAAAGAAAAAAAATCATTAGACGCTTAAACTTAATTCATATTTAAAATTGGTCCAAGTTATTGGAACACTCTGTATAAAACTTTAAATATCAGGAAAGTGTTTTACGGAAATTCAATGGCTCATTGGAATAGAAATCAAGACCCCTCTATTCGTAATCATGTGCAGGAATTGAACCTCTCCACAACAACGTTACATCGAATTATGACAAAAGAGTTGTCTCTACACGCTTAAAAAATTCAATTGACACAAGAACTAAAACCTGATGGCGATTTGGATTACCATACATTCATCAGTTGGTTGCAAGAAACAAAAACAAGCCGATGAAGATTTTTCGCAAAAAAAAATCCTCTTTAGTGATGAAACCCATTTTCATCTTGGTGGATTCATTAATAAGCAGAATTGTCGCATTTGGGCTGATGAAAATCCAAGGAATATTGTTAAAAAGCCACTGCGTCCACAAAAGGTCGTTGTTTGGTGTGCATCTTTTGCTAGCGGGATCATTGGGCTGTATATTTATAAATTTGAACGTCCATTTTTTTAATAGGCTTCGATAAGTTTAATACGTTGTTTGATTGTTAATCTTTCCATGGTTGAAATAGCCAAAGACTTAAGTTGTTAAATATTGTTAAGAAAAAGAAAACAATCATTAGATGTTTAAACTTAATTCATATTTAAAATTGGTCCAAGTTATTGGAACAATCTTTATACTAAAGTATTAGTATATATTAAAATTGAAACAGCTAGATACATTCTCTGTGTTGTAGTAGTTATTGGTTCAGACTTTGTGATGTCATTTGCAGCTATGTGCCATTGGAAATTGCTTGGTGTGCTTTGTGTGCCATAGGTTGCCAACGTCTGCATTACATCACCCACACATCCAAGGCATTCCTAAGTGGTCTCCTATCTAGTTACTGATCAGACTAGATGTTGCTTAACTTCAGTGATCGTACAGGAACTGGTTTTTCAACATGAGGTTGCCGTAAGTTTTCATGTAGTACAGTCACTTGTCAAAATTAAGACGGTCACTGTATGAGGTTGTTATAAGTTGATAACAGTTGACCCAAGTCTTGAAGAGGCTAAGATTGTAGTGATCAGGGAAGCATCCTCTTTGGAGTCTGTATTATAAAGTAGTAGTTTTTAAAAGATGCTATCCTAGCAGAAATTCCTTTTAACCAGTGGAATACAAAGGGAATGAGTATGTTTTGAACCTGTATATATGCCATGGTGGGATTTAGCTGCAAAGGTCTGAACTAGTGGAAATCAGGAATGGAGCTTGTTAAAACATTTTGCCATGAAAATAGTGATAAAATAGTAACAGGCTTGGAATGCTCCCTCTTTGGGTTGTAGAGTGGAAAATAATTCATCACCCACACGGCCACATAGTCTCTTTTGATCTCTGTCAACTTTGGAAAGTGAGGATTGAACAGCTCCAGCCTAGAAATAGCAGCAAGACTGCATTTGTAGTTTGATCTGACTCTGGTAAAGATAGGGTATAGAAGGAGGAGCCAGGTACTTTGAATGAACCATTTTTCCAACCTCTTTAATGATAGATTGTATATTTGAGCTCTAATTGAGATCTGGGGAAACTTTAGTCCCAAGAGACAATCAAACCAAGAGCACAACCATTCATGACAGGAAAAAAATTGGGGATCTGTTTGGTGATGATGAAATGTTACTACCTTGTTTTTGGATGTATTGAATGATATAAGCGAGATTTTTCTGCATTGAGCTGTTAGAGCTTGTTCAGAGAAGAGATCAGCTGCCAGTTTCTGATCATGTAGATTTTTGGTGGTGCACCCCTAAACTGTGGGTTTATCTGCATAGATATTTACTACTGGTCTGAGAATGTTCTTAGATCATTATTATGAAGGAGAATTTAAGACGGAAACAAGAGCAGGTTCTTGAGTCTATTAATGTATGGCACTACCTTTTCTTCTTGCAGGCTTCCAATATGCTGGAGTGCAGTACACTAAAGAATGTTGGTGCGGAGATGAATTTGGGAAATATGGCCCACTGTCAGATGGGCACTGTGGAAGTCGATGTCCACAGAACAGTTCAGAAACTTGTGGTGGATTCCTTGCAATGCGAGTGTTCAGTACTGGATTAGGAGGTAAGCAATGAATTGCTTTCATTTTACTTCAAGGCTGTGGTTCCCACGAAAGAAGACCATTTCAACGATGGAATATTTCTTCATCTTTACAATCATGCTCCCTTTTCTTTTGCATTCAGTTCCATTTTCATGCCATTTTCAAAAAGTGGTAAAGAGACTAAACAGTTTCAAGACATCATCTTAGAATTTTCTGGCCTCAGTTTTAACACATACCCTTTTGGTATCAGTTTTAACTCATACCCTTTTGGTATCAGTTTTAACTCATACCCTCCTGATTTCAGTTCAAATTGACACCTTCTTTCTTCAATATATTGTGACCATTTCACTTAAAGTTTGTCATTTCTTGATTTCAGATGAAATCTTGAAAATTTTCAAACGTATTTTACTCAAGTGTTTACATTCCAAAATTATTGCTTATAATTATAACAAGTTATAATTCTAATTTGAAAATGTGCTTACACTTTTACTTTTATTTCCTAAAAGGTATAGACATTACAAGAATTATCTCATTTTTTACAGTTTATCAACACTTTTCATTTTTTACACTTTTATCAACACTATTTCATTTTTTACAGTTTATCAACACTTTTCAGGTTATTAAAAAACATAAAATGTTTTTTGATTGTAAAAATTTTGTTTTTGAGAGAGATAATAATGATTTAGCGATAGAAGTTTTACTAATTAACCCATAGCTAGGGGGAAAGTCGGATTCATACCTTCCCCAAGGATATTTGCATGTAAGTGAAGATAACAAACTCAACTGGAATTAGAACTCAGTATTCCAATTTCGAATTCCAAGCCATTATCCATTGCACCACCCACACATCCAAGGTTACTCTAGTATATATTAAAATTGAAAACAGCTAAATATCTTCTTTGTGTTATGTTGTTTGGACTTTGTGATGTCATTTGTGGCTGCGTGCCATTGGAAATTGCTTGGCGTGCCATGTGTGCCACAGATTGCCGACTCCTGCATTACATCACACACACATCCAAGCTTACAGCACCTCGTATTCCCAAGTACCATCTACTTACTGAACAGGCTTGATGTTCACCAAAGATCATACGAGAACCAGTGTTTCCATGTGATATGGCAGTAAACCTGGATTATCTCTACTAGAAGTCTTAATATCTAATATGTGCTTATGTCGATATCAACTTGATATATTCCTTACTGTGCTGTTGTCAAACTCATTAAATGAACTTTCTCAGTGCTCTGAATTCTTTAATTTTGCCTTCCCCAAAATGACATCCTAGCTCGGCAGTAAATACATCCTTAAGACTTGGCACCTAAGCCAATACAAAGGCTGCCAAATTTCTTAACAGTCCAGGTTGGGGTGGGGGATGTCACATTTACTACCTCACTGGCTGACACTCTGCTAAATTACTTTCCTCTCTGCCCACACTGACAGGTATAGCCAGTGTCAAAGACTAGTTTGTTCTTTAAGAATTCTGCGTAAACGCCGTTGGTCATGAGCAGATTTGTATTGTTGATTTGTTTAAATAAACTGTTAAGACCTCTCGGCATCATTTCAGAGTAACATTTTAGAATCCTTGTGTGTTGAGCAATGGCAAATGACGAGGACTATTGATTTCAATTGTCAATAATTAGTTTCTACCATTTCCTTTGAAGTAGTTCTCCTGGTTATGTATATAGCAATTTCACAAAGATTACTGCTCACAAACAGTAGCAGCAAAAATCTTTACTACATTTGATTTGCATGCCGTGTATATCCCTTTTTTTTCTTTTTTTTTTTTTGAGAGATAATAATTCAGTGTTACAAGTTTTACTAATTAACCTGTAGCTGGGGGATAAGTGATTCATACCTTTCCCAAGGGTATTTGCATGTAAATGAATATAATGAACCCAAACTGGAATTAGAACTCTGCATTCTGAATTTCAATTCCAAGCCATTATCCATTGCACCAACCACACATCCAAGCCCACAGCACCTCATATTCCCAAGTGGTCACCCATCTAGGTACTGCCCGGGCTTAATGTTGCTTACCCAGTGATCATACGAGAACTAGTGTTTCAACATGATATGGCCATAAGCCTGGATTATCTCTACTAGAAGTTTTAATATCTAATATGTGTTTATGTTGATATCAACTTGATATATTCCTTAATGAGCTGTTGTCAGACTCATTAAAGGAACTTTCTTGGTTCTCTGAATTCTTTAATTTTGCCTTCCTCAAAATGACATCCTAGCTTGTTTGTAAATACATCCTTAAGACTTAGCACTTAAGCCAACACAAAGGCCGCCAAATTTCTTCAATAATTAATTTCTACCATTTCTCTTGGTTAGGTATATAGCAATTTCAAAATATTACCGCACACAAAGAGTATCAGCAAAAATCTGTATATTTGATTAGCAATTGTAATTATATTTTTTTTTTTTTTTTTTTTTTTTTTTTAAAATAATAATAATTTAGTGATACAGGTTTTACTAATTAACCCATAGCTGGGGGAGAAGAGGTGGATTCATACCTTTGTCAAGTTTATTTGTGTGTAAGTCAATATAATGAACACAACTGGAATTAGAACTCAGTAATGTGATTTCTAAATCTCAGTCATTATCCTTTGCACCACCTGCACATCCAAGCTTACAGTGCCTGGTATTCCCAAGTGGTCACCCATCTAGGTTCTGATGTGAATAGTGCATTGCTTAACTTCGGTGATAATATGAGAACCAGTGTTTCAACGTGATATGGCTGTAAGCCTGGATGATCTTCATTTTAATTAGAACTCGGCATTCTGATTTCCAATTCTGAATTGTTAACCATTGCGCCACCCGCACATCCAAGCTGACAGCATGTCGTATTTAAAACATGGTCAAGTGGATGAAAAGCATTGATTTTTTAGTTTGAGTTACCTGGATGTTGTGAGTACAATCTCTAGGCGAGGAGGCTTATAGCCACAGTATGTTGAAACATCAGTTCCCATATGGTCACTGAAGTTAAGCAACGTCAAGCATAGACAGTACCTCTTACCCAGAGTTTTGATCAGGAGTAGAGGTTTATTCTATGTTTACTGTTTAGGATTCTAAACGATTAACTCCTAAAGTTTACTTCAACTCTATACTTCTATTGTCTCCGTCTGAACTCTGTATTTTTATTTACTAATTATTTTTTTCTCCTTAATAGGAATAGATAGATTTGCCTATCATCTGATTTACTCTACTTCCTGGTCTTTTGAACAGGAGTAAAGGTTTATCCATTGTTACTTGTTTAGGATCGGCTTTCCGGTTCCTTTTGAAATTTTTTCATTCTCTTTCAGTCCCAGTAGCCTCTTGTATCTTAGTGGCATTGTCATCTTGCTTGGAGCAAATTAATTAAAACTAAAGTGAACAAAACCGAACTTATATAACCTGTATGGTGAGACAATACTCAGTCGAAGTTCCACCAAGATTTATTATTGGCTGACAAAATTTTAACATAAGATACTCAGATGATGCTGTGTTTATTCACAATGAAAGAATTCTTAGACAAAGTAGTAATGGAAAGCAAGCAAAAGGAAGGACTAGCTGATCGGAAAAAAGCGTTCAATTAGAATGGAGCAAAAACAGCATCATGTTTAGATGTAACAGAGTCTATCTTCAATTACTTTAAAGTACTTTCATTGAAAAACATTTTGAATTAATGCAGTTACTGATTTAACAGAAGTAGTCTGTATTTATTCAATCAAAGTTAGCTGAGGACATGAAGGGGTTAAACAGGCAACATGAAGATGCACAATTATTTTCAAAGATCAATTAAAAATAAGAAATAAGAAAGAAACCAGTAAAAATCACCATTTTTTGCTATTTATGTGGGTTTTCACTATTTAGGTGGACTCAGTTTTCAAATTAAATGACTGTTAAACAATCAACTTATTGTTGGCTACAATTGAGTGAAGTTTGTATTAGATTGCTTGAAAATTGAGGGAGTTTTTAGCTTAAAATTTGTGTTGAAATTGATTTGTATTGAAATCGATTTTTTGTTCATCAGAGTTTTTCGCTAAACGCAGTGGCGTAGAAATAAAATAAAAATGTTTTATGCAAAGCACAATCATCAGTAACCAGCACCTAATGTATGAAACAACTTGTGCTATTAGTGAGGAAAAAGAAATGTAAATTTATTATATATATATATATATATATATATATTTATATATATATATATATACACACACAAACACACAGAATCAATTCAAGGGTCTTGTGTCTTTCGCCCCTGAATCTATAATATAGAGTCCCCATTCTACTACATCTCAATTTTCATAATCTAGTATTCATATAAAATACAAATTTTATTCTAACTTAATTATGTACAATAATGGATCATCTTACTTATTATAAAATGCAGATTGTGTGTGTCTGGATATTGGATCAGATTTCTTTTTTCAAAGTGATTTCAAAAAACTTCACAGAACTGTGAAATTACCTTATGGTTCTGACAGTGCCCAAATTTTGAAAAAACAATTTGAAAACACAATAAAACCCAATTCTGTTGCCAGAATGAAAGGGGACAACTCATATCGAGTTATACTTATTATAAAAAAAGGTTGTTTAATGTGTGTTCCTTTATATATGGGATGGGATTTACATTTTTCAAAATTTCAACAAAACTTCTTTTTTTTTAGATGCAGGTAGTGTTTCTTGTTGTCTTGCACTTTTTTTTTTTTTTTTACATTCAGAATGCTTTAAAAAAAAACAAGACAATTGTTTATAATAAAATTCTATTCAATCGGTAGACTTATAACGATTGAAAACAACGTTTTGTTTGAGTTTGGGTTTGACCAATTCATAAAAATTAAAAAAAAAAAAAACCAATTAAGACATGTGTGTCCGTCAACCTTAAACAATAATCTTTGTCAATTTTATTTTTCAGTCTTTCATGATGGTGTAATACTTGATTATCTCTTACTGTTACATCCCAAATTTAACACTGGGCTCTACTTCTAGTATGCAATATAGGTGAACAATTCAGCTAGAAAAAACTGAAAATAAAATACACTGTATCTAAATACAAATTAGACATGTCAAATAGATCATTCCATCTTAAATAAATGTAACAATGTTTTGCAGCAATTTTGACATCAACTTGAGATTTTTTCTTGTTAAAACATTGAATAAGTTTAACTAACTTAGAGACATGTTATAAACAATGATTTGGGTTAATTTTAGCATCAACTTAGATTTTTTTTTCTTGTATAAAATTCCAAGACTTTTAACATATTCAACATTATGGATAAAAAGTAGTGAATGTTATATAATGTTTTTTTGCAGACTTAGCTGCAGCAAAACAAATTCAGGGATTTTTTTATTATACATCAAGCACTATTTTATTAACACCAGTACTCAATGTGCAAGAGGCAATCTTTTTTTTTTGTGGTCAGTAATATACATGGTGTTGATAATACAGTCAGAGACCAAAAAGCTGAAACAATTTTCTTTTACTGAATATCCTCCCCAATACAATGTCAAAGAGTCCTAAGATAAAGGTTGACTGAGGTTGTTGTATAGACATAAAAGGTATTTTAAGTGCAGATTATGAAGATATGCAGGATAGATAACAGTTGATCCTAAACTTTAAGAGGTTAAGATTGAAGTCGCGTTCAATAAGCATTCATGAGTGTCTGTTCTTTTTAGCATACCCACAAACGATAATGGGTATGTTCCATTCACATAAATTAGTAAAAAATACTGTATGTTGGTAAGTTGGAATTCACTTGATTCACTTCTAGCAGTTGACTACTTCTATCAAACCTGATCTTATATGTGTTGTGTTGTCTTTAGTTATTATTGTTCATTACCAACTTTCATTTGATTATTCTATTCAGTAACCATACAACAGTTCCCTAAAGCATTTGTATCCCATTTTTGATCTGATTTGACTCTTGAAAAGATAGAGCATATCAGAAGTAGTCTGGTAATTTCAGGAAGTCACTATTTTTCCAGAATCCTTAATCAGAATCATTGTGTCTGGGTTTGATTGATTGATTTTATCTTTTATGGCTCATCAACTTTTTGCAGTTTATTTAGAGTCAGAAAATATTTTTTAGATTTTAAGATCTTTTTGAGATATAATAATATTTAACAGATACTAGTCCCATTAATTAACCCATAGCTGAGGGAAGATGAAAAAGGATTCATAGCTTTCCCAAAGGTATTTGCCCAGAAGTGAATATAATAAACATGACAGCTTCTCAATCCATTGCAGAAAATATTTTTAGAATATAAGAATTTTTTGAGGTGATAATATTTACTGATACAAGTCCTACTAATGTGAGGAAAATTCATGTTTACTTATATATGTGTGTGAATATAAGAAACCCGACTGGAATTAGAACATGGCTCTAATTTCCAATTCAAGCTGTTATCAATTACACCACCCATATTCATTATTTAACCTGGTATTCCCAAGCAATCAGAAATCTAGGGTGCTGACCGGCTCCATTTCCTATTTATATTTGCAATATGACTTTGGTATCATGCAAGTGTTTCAATGTGATATGGCATATAAAGTTATACTGCCGCATCAAATCTGGTAACTTTCTGTGGTGACCCATCTAAGTTTTGTAGGCTCAACGCTATTCAAACTTCAGTGTTTATAACTATGTCTTAATGTGATATGGCAGAAAGCCAATTTGTTTAATCAAGCATCAAATCTGATATGGTATATGGTCACCCATCTAAGTACTGACCAGGTTTAACGCGTTTAAAAAATGATTGTTCATGAAACTAGTGTCTTAATGTGATATGGCTGTGTGTAAAACCCACACATGAAATCTGGTATTTAAGTTTGTCACCCAAAAAAAAGTACTGACCAATTCAACGCTGGCTTAAATGGTGAAATCATAAGAACTGGTGTTTCAAATGACAATGTATTACTGCCTTTAATCCAAATTGTCAAGAACCCATAAAAATTTAAAAATTGACATTTCAAATTCAGTAATCATACGGTTAAGTATTTCAATGGGGTATGACTGTAAGTTACTTGAGGTCTGGACAAGCTTGTTTCCCAAATGACATTCAAGTTTGTTTTGTTTTGTTTTACGGCATATCAACCTC